CCATTTCCGACACTCTTGGGGGCCTCTTTCCACGTCGACTCGGCGCGAAGAGCTTCTTTCAGATCCTGATTCTTTCGGCCTCTCCTGTTAGCAATCACTAGGGTCAAAATTTTCACGAAGGGATCTTTTGAGAATTGCCAACTGTGCACTTAGCCCGAAACCGTCAGGGCTCAAATTGCAGAGATGCTTATTGAGCTGAACCTCTTTTAAGCTTTCTTCTCTAATAGGAAGTTCTCCTGTAGATTAGATGAGCGATACAAAGTTTTGGAAAGGCTGAAAACTGAAATGTTTTACAACAGACGAGGTGGGCAAAGCCTTGTTTTATCTGAACTATGCTGGAGGCAAGAAAAACTCCTTGAATCAATGATAGTGACAATATGTAAAGAACCATGTGACCAGCCCATTCCCAAAGCTAAATCAACACCTTGTCAACCCAGAGCATCTATAGCACAGAAAAACAAATGTCATTTTCTCAGCCCAACCTCCATGTAGTCCCCCATACAATGAAAGGATATTCCCAACAGATATCATATATCATAGAAAAGTCACGGTGGGGAACTGTCAGTAGCAATCCACCAGCGGACAATCAGGGAAGTCAATTACTTCGTGCAGTATTCTTGAAAAATGCATTTCTTACTCCCACTTCATTCATTTCAGAATCTGAAATAAGCCTAAGCTTCCAGACTTATCTGAAGTACATTCTCAAAGCTGCCTTGAATAGACATCTAGGAACCTGTGAAACTTGAAGATGCATCTGAGGTTTTAATTCTTAGGGACTTTTAATGCAGAAGAGGGAAATACTAATCAACATACATCAATGGCTGAAACTAGCTTTAGAGTACTTAAAAAAAAAAAGTAAAAACAAAACAAAGCCTCTTTTATGAAAGGTGACCATGGTGGCAACCAACAACTTCAACCAGAAAATGTCATTGTGTAACTCCTCAGTTATCTTTGTATGACTTCTTTAGAGAAATACTGTCAATATACTGTTAATATAAATCTAAGTGGGGTTGCAGAGGAGTTGTGGGTGGAACACTGTCTCTAAAGAGTAGCAATATTTAATTCTATTGTACTTGGTGATTACAGACAAGCCTTGGTTCTCAAAGACACCTCTCCTTGTGAAACTGCAGGATGTTTCCTAGAAAGATTGGGTTAGCAAGGTGATACTTCTGTCTCCTTGTGAAAGCACATCACACTAATGCCACTGATCATGACTTTCAGAAAGGGTCTACAATAAAAACAGCTGCCTTTATTTCTCCTCTACTTTACAGAAAACTAACACCAGACAAACACAAATATTAACACACAGAACAATCAGACCTCAGTGAAGGGTAATCTACTGGTTGGCTTTGAACATTTAAGTCACATGTACTTGACCAGAACCCTTTCAAATTCATCTTAAGTCTTAATTCACACAACTCCTCTAACTTCAATTCAAAAGAATTTGGCCACAACCCTATTACCATTTATGATGCTGGTAAATATCACTTATTATTTCTATAAGAATCAGTTCCTTATCTTTTTATACCATTTGAAAAAACTAGCAACCTAATGAAGACTTCCAAAACATTTGATGTACTTGGTAAGGTTTAAGAAACAATCTCTTGCACCTTAGAAAGGAAAACCTTCTAAGTTCCATAACAGAAAATGCCAGTTAAGCAAGCAAAAATGCACCAAACATACAATGGAAAAAATACTGAATAGTTAAACCTTGCCATTATAACACACACTCAGTTGGGGCTGTCAGTTTTGTTGGAGGCCTAAAACCAGTAATGTCAAAATGAAGGAAAACAGAAGCAAGTTCTTATGTTAACAATCAGCTTGACTACTGCAATCTAAGAAATGCAAATGAACTCCATAACCCCAGCTGAGGCTCACAGCCCAATACAAGTATGGGTAAAGTTGGGGCTAACTAGACTCCTAGGGAGAAATTTACCCTTGGGGCACTTTATGCACACCCAAGAACTTGGTAGTAGAGCATCAATGGACTTACCAAGTACAACTAAGTGGCTCAATTCTCTTACAGAAGCTCAATTCTCTTATAGTGACTCTTACATGGCGTTAAAGATACTGTTACTAGGCATAAATTTACACAGGCAGATTATTTCAAACACATTTGCACTCTGGGATGGATGTACACATGTGTTTAAAAAAGTATGAATATGTTCATAAAATCAACCTCTAAGGGATTCTGAGCAGTCTACTTAAAATAAAACTCAAATACTATTATAGCTTCCTATATGCTGTTAGCAATTGGCATTCTTAAGTTTCAAGACTTCAGTGTGGCTTATAATATGTTTCCAGAACTTGAGGGTTAAGGGTCCTATAAAATATAGGTTGAACTACTCATAACATTCTAGGCACCACTAACCTACATTTGGATTTAAATAAATATGCCCAGAATTTTGCCTACTATAAGGGAAGGGGTTAATACATGCTTCTCTTTCAAATATTGAACCGTGACCACTAAGCCCACTAAATCCTTTTATTGCAATTGGGAATGATCAAAGTCTCTCTACTTGTTTACTTCCAATTATTAACTGTAAATCTCTGTGAAAATGATCATGCTATATCGCTGTCAAAGCCAAAACAATGCGTAAACATATGCCATCAACTTTTAGTGCTCGTTTTCCAAAGCATCTCTTTACCACATGACCTATCCTGACATTTAGCAAAACCTATTAAACGCTGTGGACTTAAGTCATGGTTCTAAGTACTATCCCATGCTAGAGGTTGAGAGAAAAAAATGTAGTCTCCGAGAGGGAAAAAAAGAAAAAGAGGAAAAAGAAAGAAAGAAAGAGAGGAAACCTCTTGCAAGACTAACGTCCACTCACCATCATCACTCCAAAAAAAGCTCCAAATTTGAAATGCCCACTTCCCAGGGAGCACGTCCCAAGTAATGTTTGCAGAACATTATCCGAGACTCCCAACAAATAACACCTCGAAAACTTTACCATTTTAAACACAAATGCAGGAGACCTTGGAAACAACTGGGAACCGCCATCTTACAAGCCATCCAATTTCACACAAGTGTCCCTCCAACTTAAGTTAATAACATTTTTGTTCGGGCTCTCTCCAGCCTAACATTCACCTTGGAGGGATCGCTGCCCCCCACGCAACCCGTCCCTATAAAATGGGGGCGTTCTCTGGCAGTTTAAACCCCTCCAAAGCCCTTTCTTCAGGAGAGGAGGGAAGCCACTTGACCCAAGTAGCTCCCGATTTCAGGCACCCGTCCCCGTTTTATCCAAATCTACCTCTCAACAAAGGGCGCCGCGGCCGGGAGAGCCACAGAGGCTGCAAATAGAAGTGTTCTTCTCGGGGGC